AGGCTCATTGCTAAATTGATGATGGTACCACTGCGGGCATAGCATGCCACCAGGGTACAGCAGATGCAGACTTTCTGATATGTAGCACTTCAACTGATGTTGCTGGTAGGACTCAAAATCCAGTTATAGTAGTCGGGAGAGACACCTACTTACTAGTCATGCTGGTTGATAATGCTCTCCCGAATCTATACAAGCAATAAGCCAGACATGTTATCTATAGCACAGACTGTATCAAACAAGCACTGCATCCATGGGCAAAGGGTCACCTGTTTGTTGCTCTTGCAGTTATTGGGTGTGACTCGGTATCCGCACTGTACAATATCAGGAAAAGGAAGGCTTTAAAAGTTTAAAAGTGCTTATCAGAGAAGTCTGGCAGATCCTTGACGTCTTCAAAAGGCCATATGCAGCATATGATGACATTGCCAGAGCTGATGAAATGTTTCTTCTCGAGATGTATTGTGCAAATTTTCGCTCAACAACCCTATACAAGCTGAGGTTTATCTTGTATTTGAAGATGATGAAGACATCCCTTTCAACTTTGCCAGCCTTCCTCCAACATCCTCAGCAGCCAAATTCTATGTATATCGTGCTTACTTCGCAGTTCAATAGTGGCTAAGGAACCAAGGGCAATTGGAGCCAATCAAGTGGGGCTAACAGCTGTGTGATGGCTACGCTAAAGCCAATATTTAATGACAAAGACCCATCTCCTTCTCTTATCTTATCCATGATTTCGTGTGGATATAAGACAGGATATGGTAAAAATTGCATGTGCAGAAAATCAGGACTAAATTACACGGAAATGTGTTCCAACTGTTAATGGGTTTAATTGTACGAATCCCCCACCCCGTTAACGATAAAGAAGATGAATAATGTGGAATGACAGAACAATCACATGCGCTTTACTGTTTGCACAATTTCAGCAGCACTCATGAAACTCAAATTCAACAAGATCGCAGTATAACAGCTGCTGCAGCTATAGATTCACCAGACATCGCAGCATAGATTGTCTTAAGATATTCATTCTACCTATAGTAAAATGATGTATTCTCTATACTGTTTAGGTTGGTAATCTATTTTTTTTAAATTCAGGTTGTCCTTATATCTTAAAAATAAGGTAATATTTTTCTCATCATCAAATTAGTTGGAAAAGACGTATTACACATGTTTGTGAGCTGAATGATTAAAAAGTTATGTGTCACCTCAGCAGAGCCGCCCATCTAGGATTTTAAGCTCCCGAACATTTAGCTCACTGGGGACTTTTGGGGACTTTATGGATTTTGAGTCAGTAGGCCATAGAGTAGCATCCCTGAAAAAAAAATTAGCTTTCTATATTTTTTCCATGTTGCTGTATTAATTTTGATAATGCTCCTGGTTTAATACACTGACATTTCTTTTACAGTAAGGTTCACCCTGTACAAGGTCTGGGGCCACTCGAGTTAGGGGGTTACATTAAGGGGTAGTTTATATGGACAGGAGAGGAAGATAATGGTTGGTTCTAGACTTGAACAAGTTAAGATTGTAGTGATCGGGGAAACATTCTATTGGGAGTCTGTTCAACAGTGTAGTGGTTCACGTTGATGTAATAGGGAGGAAATGTAGATAGTTTGCTAGTGTGTAAATGGGATGGCGGGTCCTAGCTGTGAAGGATAGACCTGGCGGAACCAAGGAATGTAGTTCGTTCGAGCACTTTTCAGAGCAGTGAGATCTGCATCCTGTTCATGAGGGTGATAATTACAGATTCTGGCGTAAACACGACTAATGTCTACCTTTTTAACTTGAGCAAACCAGATCTGTGTCTACTTTTCTATTAATTCATTGTGTTTTTTTTTCCTGTAAGTCATATACGACATAAAATAACTCAAGTGTTGATTGTCGTTAAATTAATCAATCTGCTCAACATCTTCTTGTAGCTATTTTTAAGAAATGAAACGGGGAAATTTCATTAGAAACAAAAAAAGTGTACTAAACTGTTATGTAATATTGGTCCTTCTATATGACAGTTAATGCTAGACAATCCCATCACAGATGAAGAGATTTGAGGAAACAGAAATGTGGTTCTACAAAAAGATACAGAGAATACCATGGACAAAACATGTGACCAACGACGAAGTTTTAGAGAAAATGTCAACAGCTAGAACATTCATACTTAGAACAAGAAAAAGAGGTTTGAAATTTCTGGTAAATGAGGATATAACTTAATACTAATTAGTAATAGTCAACCAGATTAGCTTGCTATTCATTAATCTACACAAAACACTCGTTGTTGCTATTTACTAAGCTTAGTACAAGGACGTACGGTGAGAATCAAACTCATGATCCACAAATCCTGCTTTACGAATATTGTTGAACAAAAGAATGGTTTATTTTCTTGCTTTCTTCGTTGATTTTTAGCGAGGCACTTTAATTAAAATGGGCGTTTTGGCGTGGGATAATGTTTACCGAGCTAGGCTGGTTGACCATTATTGATTAATAGAGATTTCGATTCTCACTGAGTGCCTCTATACTATTCACACAAATCATTCACAGTTCGTCACTTATTCCTAACTATTTTTTTAACATTTAAGCGGCGGGACTCATCAATTGATGATTTGAAATTTTCCTAACATTCATTCATAATCCGAGTCTAAGTGTGTTATATACCTTACCTATGAACACTAATGGATATGTCCCAATTCTCATAAAAAATGTTGGACAATATTGTAAGTGGCTGTAATATGCTGTCTAAGTAGTCCACCACTAGCAGTGGTTTACCTACTTCACGCCGCTGGCGAGTATTGTATTTTGTTGATGTTATAAAGATTACCATTTCATTTCCAATCTCCGTTTTGGTTATTCCTCATTCAGTAACCCTTCCTAGGTTACAACAAAATGATTAATTGGTAACTTAGGTTATGGGAGTATTTGGAGTTTTTTTTTTCTTTTCCGGGGCATTTGGCTCTAAATAAAGCTTGAAAACAAACCAAATGCTTGTATAAAGAATGCTTGATAGAGTATCATTCAGCTTAGCGCATTTTGCGCCGCTGTGGTCATCACTCACCCTTTTCTGTTGTAATTGTAGTTCATGGTGACATTCAATGCAAAATAATGCAATGCACGAAATAGTATAACGCTGTTAAAAAATATTAAATATAGGGACCTAACTTATGTTTTATTTCTCTTTCTTTGTTGTTATAACTTAAAAAGTTAAAATATCATTTTTATATATAATTAAAGTGAAAATAAGCATAAAACCATCATTTAAAAGAGAAAAGAAAAAACAAAGGAATTTTCCTTTTTTTTTTTTACTCGTTTGTCGCGCACGTTCGTGCAACCTTTTCTTGTAGTTCAATGCTTAGGTAACCATTGTTATATTCGACAAATATATGAAAACTTTCATTTGCTCTAATGATTACATACACAGTGACAGAGCAAATGAAGACGAATAAGAAAAAGAATAAGAAGGAGGAGGAAGAGGGGGAGTACTGTATTTTAGAGTTGTTTCCATTTAAACCCGTTATAAGACAGAATGCATGGTCATCAGTAAAAGAATGAGCCCGAAATGCGATTTGCAGGTCGGGAACACTAGAATCAAGCAGAAGCGGAAGTTTAGATATCTGGGAAGGGTTTTGACAGACGACGGTAAGTGCGACACTGAGATCCATAGACATATTGGGATGGCCAAGGACGCATTCCAAAAGCTGGGCAGAGTATTGCGACACAGGAGGATTTCTTTGGTAACAAAGAAAAGAATACTGAGCTGTTAAGTGACATCTGTTCTTCTTTACAACAGCGAATGTTGGACGATTTCCTCAAAGATAAAGAAGAGACCCGAGGCGACGGGGTTGTGGTTCTACAGAAGGATGCTAAGGATATTATGAACCAAGCGTGTGAGCATCGATGAGGTCTTAGAGAGGTTGTAAACAAGGAGGAGGCTTATACTTAGCAGGAAGAGGCAGCTGAAGTTTCTGGGACACATAATGAGGAAGGAGGGCCTGGAGAATCTGATACTCAAAGGTCGAATAGAGGGAAAGAATGACAAGGGAAAACAGCGCGTGACATACCTGGCGGGTTTAAGCAAGTGGATGACAGAACATGGTCTGGGTGGGGAGCAGAGGGAAAGAACTTCAGAGCTGCAAGTGATAGAGGGAGGTAGAGATCCATGATCGCCTACTTCCTGAAAGGAGATGGCACATAAAAAGAAAATGATACATAGGCTATATTTCGTTTTTTCTTATCGCTTTGCCCACTGAATTTACACTTACTCTACCACTCACATCGCTTGGTGTCAGGCACTTCAGGCACTAATCAATTAAATATTCCTGGCGATAGAAAGAGAAAAAGAATTACTCCAACCACCGTATTTTATAACTTTTACACATTGTTTTAACCAAAGTATGGCATTCAATCCGTATGTTGCGTATTTAAAATCAGGAAGAAACATTGGTAATAGTCTGGAATCAATACAAGTGTTACTGATAGAATATGGCTATTATATGCATAGTAAACTATAATTTCTGAAGATTTCCTTTATAAGAAATTTCGTAATAGAAATATATTTAACATTAAGAAAAATAGATTGTCAGGAATTAATAAGATTATAGCTAACAGACCAGAGTTTTTATACCAATATTCAAAATTTATAGCAAATGAATTTACTGTAGTAAAGCATTGTAAATTTTATTATAGAATTGCATTGTACGTAAGGAAAACAGATTGTCAATGGTTAGTCGGTTGGTTGTTTTTGCTTAGCGGCATATCAATCTCTGATTTATTTAATACCGAAATCTAAATATTTTGTGCGCAGTTTTATTTATTTATTTATTTATTTTTAGATAATACTGTTTTTTAGTGATACAAGTTTTACTAATTAACCTATAGCTGGGGGATGAAGAAGTGGATTCATACATTTTCCAAGGGTATTTGCGCGTAAGTGAATATAACAAACCCAACTGGAAAATGGAACACGGCTCTCCGATTAACAATTCCAAGTCATTATCCATTACACCACTCGCACATCCAAGTTTACAGCACCTGGTATTTCCAAGCAGTCACCAATCTAGGTACTGACCAGGCTCGACGTTGCTTAACCTCACTGATCGTACGGGAACTCGGCTCTCAGAATAACACTTCCGAGTCATTATCCATTACACCACCCGCACATCCAAGTTTACAGCATCTGGCATTCCCAAGAAGTCACCCATCTAGATACTGACCAGGATCGACGTTGCTCGATTTCGCTGAATAGGAATCAGTGCATGTATTATTGGCAGAATGGAACTATTATATGTACAGCAAACCATTAATTTTCGAAGATATTTTTGTATATTATTTTATATATATTGAATATATTGAAAATTAGCATAAAATAGGTTGTCAGTGGCTCACATTATGAACATTAATAATACACGAGAGCAATTATGTTTCTATTGTTAATTCGTAGCTTATGGTTTTACTATAGAAATTCGTTTGAAATAAGGAAGGAGTATGTTGTCGGTAATCAGTATTTCTGTAAGCTTTTTTTTAAACAGAATAGGATTGTTATATTTACAATTTTATAATAACGGTTTATCACGAGACAGTTAAGACAGCCTACCTGTACAAACTATACCATGGTCTAGAATCTAGCTTCAAAAATCCTCTAAGTGCACCGCAAAACATATGTACCTATTATTTCCGTTACATCAACCGCATTATTATTTCTTCATATTAAAAAAAAAATGCAACTTTTAACAGCTTTTAATAAGCATGCCACCAGCTCACTAAGAAAACACTGTTCTTGAAAAACTATTTGAATACTTAAAAAAGAAGAGAAAAAAACAAACTTTGCTACGAAAGCTGTATTTAGAGCTACCGTCTATCAAGACTGACAATAGATATAGCCTCTATTCTGCTACAACTGCCTGGACTGATCTATATATGCATTTACTGTATTGACTTGAGTATACTCGTGTTTCTGAAGCAAAAAAAAAAACGGTGAATGAATTATAAATACGACTGCGTAGTACAGCCATCCCTGTACTATATTATCTATTAAAATCTCAATGTCGTACATATATTTCACTAAAATATTTAATTTTTTCACGATGTTAATGAATAGAAATGTATGGCCACTGGAATTTCTTCTAATTTCCGTTTCAAAACTTATTTTCGAATTTATGGGAAAAGTGCATTGTTGCCACACTAATGTTATCTAAACATGATAGATCATGTCTATTCCCTTTGATAACATTTTTAATATCAATGTCAGTGAAGTTCCTGTCTTTCAGACCAAAGACGGTTCAATTACGCCGATTCAAAGGAAAAAAACAAATATTACCGACATATCAAATACCTTTTGTAAACAAATGTTATCAACATCTGCATAATTTGTGTTTTATTATCAACTTCTCAAAACCTGACCAAATGAATAAGCATTAGAATTTTGGTGGGAATCACTTCTTGGTCGGGTCGAGAACTTTTCTGTACCCACACGTACGACGCATATTGTAGAGAGAGGAAAAGAAAAAGAAAGAAAGCAAAAGAGAAAAAGTAAAAAGAGAAGAGAGAGAGGGAGAGAAAGAGATTAACAACAGATAATAATAATAAAGCAGAGATATTACGACAACATACTTTAATAGAATTACGTGACAGAAGATTTGTTCTTACCGTATACGATTTTTTTCTTTCCTTTTGACAGCTTTCACATCTTTATTTAAAAGGAAGAACCTGGGGTGGGGTGCATATCCGAAATACCAGCATCACTACACCTGTGCTTTCGATCCCATTAAAAATCAAACGTTGTGAATTGTTTATTTTTGTGATTGATAACGCAGTACATTGCGTTTTTAAGTCAGTGGCGTAGCTAAGGGGGGCGAGCACAGGAGGGGTGACACAGTGTCACCCCAACAAAATTTTTCAACCAGGCTAAGGTGCCAAAAATAGTCTGAAAACAGTGGTGGAGACACAGGGTTTCGCAGGCGGGCATATGACTCCACAGAAATAATTTATGACCCCCCAGTTTTGTCCCCCCGTCAGAAATTTTCTAATAAATTGTCAGGAAATTTGTGAGTATGAAAAATAGATGTTTTCAGCTTTTGATTTGAACTGATTATTTTGTGGTATTGGATTTTGTCTTGGATCATACATGTAAACAGTAACGCACCGGTCAGTAAAGTAGAGGTAGAGCATGTATGAAAATTTAGCTACAGCTAACCATAGCATAGGGTGAATCGGGGTCATTGGGGTGACATTTGAGCGGACTGCCCCGGGGTGACGTTTACTCTAGCTACGCCATTGTTTGAGATATTTACAAAATGCACTTGAGACATCAGATATAGGTTTGGTCATTTCTATAAAGAGTCACTGTGGACGTTACTCAATATTCTCATAATCTTTCTGAACACATTCATAAGTTATTTAAGGACTACAAGCAAATTCATAGTTGGCACAGTATTACTGTATGCATCATACTTTTCGCGTTCTTACACGCTCTAATCCTACACAAACACAAAATAATTATGTTGTAATAAAGTAGGTATCTCCACTAATTTTTGATACCTATGGTTTAAAATGAATTTTTATAAATGAGAAAGTTTTCTTGAAGATTTAATTTTTAGCTTTACTTGAAAGCTAAAGGAATGAATTTACTGTTTCCAGTAAGCAAAATACATTGGTGTATTTCAGGCAGAAATTATATTGATTGGAATCGATTGATTTTTCTTTTTCTAAAATAGCTGATTATCGCCCTTTTTTAGTCGTCTTTCATCGCACTGTAATTCTCATATTAAAAAATCTTCCAAAAATAAAATACATGTTGATTTTAAATTTACTATAGTCGTCACTTTTATTTTTTGATAATGTCTTGTATGGTCGACCATACTTTCAAAAATGGGTACATTACGTAATATTTTATATACATAAAAAAATTAAAAATTATTTTAAAAATCTTGGTGCAAAATGTTTTTCATTAAGCTTTTCAATTTTTGATTATTAAATATAGTTTTCACTTAATAACAATATCACCTAAACTGATCAAAGTAATGCAGAATTTTAAAAGACTTATATAATTATAAATTATTATAATTAAAATTTTAAAAAATGAAAACAAGTCTTATAAAAAATCATTATTCATCGGAATTTTTTTCTTAAGACAATAATGTCCTTAATAAATCTTATTTATAAAAGGAATTAAAAGCTTTTCTAATTAAACAATATCATAGTTTTATTGCATTTTTTTGTTTTACGATTCAGAGCAGAATTTCAGGAAATGAGTAATAGTTTGAAAAAAAAAATATAATCATGATTTACATTTTCCAAGGAGTCCTGCTTTTAACTAATAAAAAGAAATTTTCGGATGAAAATTTAATTTCTCGAAATTTCGTGAAATTAAGTAAGTGGGTGGCAACATATGTAAAAGTAAAAAAAAACAAATTTCTAAAAAACCTAATTTAAAAAATAATTTCATTCATTTGTGAATAAGTCCTGAAAGTTTCATTAAAATCCGATAATTATTAGATTTTTGCAAGAATTTCCAAATCAATGTGTTTTCACCTGAAAAAAAGGGCGCTAAAACACTCATCGTAAATATTACGTAAACCGCAGACGTAAAAAAAAGAAACAAGATTTTTAATCAAAATTTCGCATTTGCCAGAAAATATTAAAAAAAATTAATAAAATAATAGAAAAGTACTTGTTAGTATTAAGAGGAAAGACCAAACTTTTTGACGATAAAATTTTATTTCTATTTAGTTTGGGGCCTTTTTTCATCATGGCATGCTCTTTTTCAGCAAATTTGTGGATGATGGATTCTTCCAAAAAAAAAAAAAAAATAAAATAAAAAAACGTAAATAAACTATATTCATGATAAAGATTTTACAGACTTAAGTGAATTCACTACCCCTTGATTTATTAATGATTCTACTCAGGGTAAAATATTTTCTATTCGATTGAAATAATCCAAGTAATGACAAGCTTTTTGAAACTGCTGAAATATTCTCAAGCGCGTCACCAGAGTGTTTTGAGGAGGTATCAGCCTTTAAATGTGGCGGGCGTGAGTAAGAATTTGCACACTAAAATTAGTTATCATTTTCATGAAGGATTGTGGTGAGGGGTTCAAAATTTCTGGGAGACGGGCGTGAATTTACTTCTCGCAGTGAGCATTCAGCTATTGTGAACGTCATGACAACATATGTGCGAATTTTCCACCATATTTATTTAAAATAAAATAAAACAGTTTTAACAGTGTTTTCAATCTAATAATAATAAAAAAGGACGCCACAAACCTTTTTTTTAGACATACACACAAAATTAAAATTATAATTCAGGCAGAGAACGTAAAAAATTTTTTTTTTAAATTTAAAAAAAAAATTAAATGATTGTGACAATGAATACATCTTTATCTGAAGTCCTTGAAAAGTAAAGGTAATATTTATTTATTCATTTTTAACGCCAAGCGTATAGAAATGTTAAAAGCCACTCCTTAAAACTTAAGTAATAATTTTCATGTCATGAAAATATAAATTTTATTTCTGAACTGCACAAATCTTTAGTGTCTATGTGTCTTGCTGGTAATGATTATACGTATTTCGATAAAATTAATACTGAACCCAAAAATCTTTTGTCGCGATAATAATTCGAGCAGCACGGTACAGCACAGTAACAACCATTTTTGACTAGAGATTGAATTATTATTTTAAGATTTGTCAATGCATTTTTTAAAAAGCCAGCAAGAATAAATGTAAATGGAAGAAAAAAAATCCTTTTCTTGCCTTCCCAACAAACATGGGCGTTCTAAAATTAATAAATTGAGTCAAGAGTCAAGATGGCACAGAATGGACTGGAAAACGTGGTAAGAAAAGACTAATTCCGCATTTAAAATACGGATTCATTGAATTGCAATATATGCATACAATAACTAGTAATTATTATGTAGTTTCAATGTTTTGATTAAATCGAACATAGTTTGGCTCATCGTTACTCTTGGAGTACCTTGTGTGAATCTTATTCACTAGAAATAATGAAACCAGACCACTAACAATGAAAGGTACTTACCGCACGTTTTGTGTGAGCTGAACAGCTTTCTCGTCTCCAAAGCAAGATGTCTACTTTTAAATACTGAACAGCAATAGACGTTTCGCCTTAGCCGCTTTTAGACTAACACTCTCAAACTGAGGTTAGATATCAAATATACAGGTAGTTAATGATCACACAAGGCCATAAAAATATGTGAAAAATTACGTGAGGTCAACAGCGTCATTGATCATTGGATACCAAAAAAGAAAAAAAAAAAACGATGCCAAAGTTCAATATAACAGGACGGTGAATAGAAAAAAATGAATAGAAAAAGAAAAAAAACAAAAAAATTTTCGCGGTGGCGTCACCCAGGAGCAGTGCTTAGCATATCTCGCAGACTATCACTACTGCAGTGAGTTTGATCCCTACTAGGCATCTTTACACGTGTGGCCTCATGTCAGCATAATTGGGTAGAAATAATAAATTCAAATTTGAGCCATAGAATCGCAATGGCGGATATTCACGTTATTCGCAGTTAATGACACAACCTGTGATGAATGACGACACCGCCAAGAATTTAGAACTTACACGATAACAACTGCACTAGTATTTCAAAATATATAAAAAAAACGACTTGAAATTATTCACTGGTGATTATTTACTAAGCACAGCTTAGTCGGTAACCAATTCAAATATGGAAAAAACGATAATTGGAAGATTGTGTTGCGCGAATATTTTAACAATCAGATTTGGGAATCATGCATTTTTATTAAAAAGAACTCAAGCACTCACCGATGGTCAAAGAAGAATTCAACCACCAATCAGATCCATGACTAACATTTACAGAATATCCAGAGACACACTGTGTTGAGTTACAAATACTTATAGATTTTTATATAGTAATTAATAATTAACAGTCGATATACCAGGTCCAAAATTGTCCAAATCGTGTAACAGCAAAATTCTCCAGTTGTTAGATTAAGCTTTGAACCGCTGTATTTTAGAAATGATTGAAAATATCTTACTGGAATTCTCCGAGGATTTTATAACACTATTGAACTCTACTTTGAACATTAAGAATATATTTAGCTCTAAGTTGTAATGATGATCCCTCTTGCTGTTGTGACCTCCTGACCCAGTTTTCCTCTCTACTATTCCCTCTTTTTTAAACTTATTCACTGTCCTCTTGATGGTTCTTGAATGGATTTTGTAGATGGAAGTCAAAGTATGAAAATTGGTACCATTACTGATAGGCTGAATGATCTTTTTAATCTCACCATTGATCAGTTGGAAAGACATAGTGGAGCTGACACAAAACGATTTTAACCTGTTCTCTTTCTAGCTGAATAACTCAAAGGGTTTTTCAGTGATTCTTATGACGAATGATAACAAGATGGCTAAACATTTTATCTGAAAAATCGAGAAAAATAAACTCAATTAGTTTAATGTTTTTTTTAGATATTAAACATTTTGTGGGATGGATAATTATCCTATGCTGTTACACGATTTGAACAATTTTGTTATTACACCCGGTGTGTATATATATATATATATATATATATATATATATATATATATATATATATATATATATATATATATGTATAGGTGTCCATAAAGTTCGCGTGCACTTTAAAAATTATAACTTTATTTGTATTTGCGATAGAAATAATCTGTAAAAAATGTTATAAAGTTTAATGTTGTTAGTTTTAAGTATAGCCAAAATAACTAATGTGATTTCAGGTATTACTGTAAATCAGTTGGCAAATGTTTTTCGTGAACTGCAAAATTGTATGACCTTTTATATTGCTAATGATGGAGGACATGTGGAAACTTAAATAAAATTTCAATAAAACCTTTAAAAAATATAGATTGACTTCTTTCTAATCCTTTTTTCAAATTATTTCTATCGCAAATACAAATAAAGTTATAAATATTTTAAAGTGCACACGAACTTTATGGACATCCTATATATATATATATATATATATATATATATATATATATATATCGCTTTAATAAAACTATCTCTGGAAATTAGTAATTACTGTTACCTGGAACACGCATATGAAACAAGCGTGTATGTAGAGCAGCCAAAAGAAGCTGCTATCATACATAAAGCCACTGACCAGATATTAAGAAGATTTATACATATTTCATATGAGAAGCTTATACGGGTTTTCTGACGACCAATAAAAATAGATATTCCTTTCTTTTTGAATAATAGTGATAGCTGCAGTAGAAACATACAAACATTTTTTTTAATTGAATGACAAAATGGCTCAAATAACAGGGTATATTGAGCTCTCTAGCCTTGAGTGGAAACCAGTCTATAAGAAGGAAAATTGTCTGATCTGGTTTTTCGGGTCCAGTAACTTTCCCACCGCCGTCAAGTTGCTTCTCTGTGCCTGTTCTATAAATACTTTCATAGTAATTATTCAGATGAGCTCTTCGCTGTGATGCGTATACTTTTTGAATTTAAGCGCAGTATAGACTGGCGACGAGGTCTTATCAATTTACAAATGAGTTGGCTGAGATGTAACCGTAAGTTCTATGCTAACAGTTTCTTTTCTCGCATTTCTCGCTTGTGGAACACCCTTCTGGCTCCATGCTTTCCAACCAACTTTAATCTTCAAAAATTTAAATGCAATGTTAAACGATATGCACTGTCCTCCTGGTTACTCTTCTTCTATCTCCCTCCTTAGTAATGTTTCTGTTTTCTAATTCTTCCACACCTAGTAACCCCTTGTATCTTAGGGGCTTTACCGCCTTACTTGGGGTGAACTCCAACCAGAAAAAAGTCCAAACCGCAGAGAAGGCAATAGGAAACCAAGCAATATTTCTCAAGAATGTATGGTAATTCACACATAATAAATAAACGGAATCTGTGGAGTCATGATCGCCTACGTCCTGAATGGACTTAGCGTTTTTTTTAACTCAATATTTGTCAGCACGGTTAAGGAAAATTTAATTTTTTATTAAGTAACTGGTGATTGAGACTATATTCACAAGAGATATAGAATTTAACACAAGACTGTTTTAAAGACAAGAAATAAAAATCACTGGCATGCCAGTAGAAACCCCGCAGACATTATGAAATGCCAATCATTCTCTTTTAAAGCGCAATCAGATGATAAATGTAAAATGTATTGAAAGTCTGCAGCCTCATCAATCGCTCCCACGCGAAAGCTTGCATCGCAGGCCATCGAGACCGACTGAAATTGGTTAGATAATGAAGCTCCTCTTCTCTTTATCTGGCCAGGTTTATCAGTAGAAAACAAAATAGGATTTCGGTTTTAAGCGGGAAATGTTAAAATAAACGTTCATTTTACTTATCAATTCATTTTAAAAAGAAACACTTCAACAATAAAAATCACGAATTGTTTTATGAAACTTTTTTTTGCACAAATTCAAGAAAACTTTGCTAAAAAAGGTAAAAAAAATGATTATATTTCTTCTGAGTAATAAAATGGCTGGCGTTTAATATTTGATTCGATTCGAACCAGGTCAGATTTCAAGGAAATTGATCAAAATCCAGGGCGATTTTAAAGCGTCCCGTGATTAAAATAATGTTCAGTTTATTGTTTTGTTTTTTTCCGGCATAAATTCAAAGTAAAATCATTTTGCATCTACAGTCAATGTTGGTCATACGAGATGCAGAATATATGAGAAGAAAATAGAGAAAAATAATGAGACATATCACGTATATCAGCAACGAATGCGACCCAGGTTTTTTTTTTCTTTTTTAATATATTTTTAGTTAATTTTTTTCTTAATATCGCATAATTTAAGATATTTCAGATTTTTTGGTTTGCTTGTTGGTTAATGCTTATGCCTAACAATGTGAAAATTTCCAAGCAGGAAAAAAAAAAAAGCCAGTACCGGGGACGGAGAGCAGTAGCAGAAAAAAAGATTTGGAAAACACGCAAGAGAAATAGATAGCGATGGTGCTGATTAAAACGTTAATGAAGAGTAGAGGCAGCATAACGATAGGTAACATAGGGCAGTTAAAAAAACAGACAAAAAAAAAAGAAAAAAAAAGAAGAAAAAAAACAGACAAAATATGAAGGAAGAGGAAAAACTTTTAAATGTAAGTTAAATAAAGAGAAGGAAAATAAGGACAGGAAGATTACGATGGGGACATAAAAATTTTAAAAATCTTTTGGAAATCAGAGATAGAGAGAGATGCCGGAGAGAAGAAAAATAGAAAGAAGAATAGGGAAGCAGAGGAGAAATAGAGAGAGAAGAAGAATGGTGAGGGGGGGATGACGTAAAAGAAATAGAGAGTAGGACGGGGGAATGACGGAGGAGAAAATAAAAAGAGGGGAGTGGGTAGAGGAGTGGTGATAGAGAAATAAAGAGGAGGAGGCTGGGTGTGTAGCAGAGGAGAAATGGAGAGAGAGAGAGACAGGAGGAGGATAGAGTGAGTGACAGAGAGAAATAGTGAGAGACAGAAGCATGGAGTGAGTGGCAGAGGAGGATGGGGGAGTGGCGTAGGAGAGGGAGCAAAGAAGAGTAATAGGTGGAGTGACGGAGGGAATAGAGCAAAGAAGAGTAATAGGAGGAGTGGCAGAGGAGAAGAAGAAGAAGAAGAAGAAGAAGAAGAAGAAGAAGAAGAGTGGAAGGAAGCGATAGCAGAAGAAATGGGGAATGGCGAAGGAAAGTGATAGAAGGAAAATAGGGGGAGTCGCGGAGATGAGCAATAGAAAAAGAAGTATAGTGTTGTGGTAGAGGAGATAGATATTCTGTAAGGATAGGGGGAGTGTCAGAGGAAAAAGAGAGAGAGAGAGAGAGATGGACGACGATGAAGAGCAGAGGAGAAAGAGTAGAAGAAGGAAAGGGGAAGTATGTAGAGTAAAGAATATAATAATTAATTTCACCAACAAAAAAAGCCATGTTCTCAACTCTTAATAACTTTTGCAACCGGAAATACAATAATAAAAATAATAATAATCATAACATTCACCCTTCACCTTCCACTGTCATGTTCTTGCATCTTAATAAAGCACGGAGCATTTAATAAAGTCACCGAGTAGTTTCTTAACCACTTAGGGCCTGATACCGCTTTCTCTTCATTTATATCTTTCCAGATGCCTGCTGGAATGTAAATATCTCTCATAGTCTTGTCTCTGCAAAGAATAGGCGCAACCAGAAGGCTGTCACCTAGCAAAAATTGGTCCGACACATTCATTGCATTCAAGTCTGTCGGGTAAGACCACCAAAGGGGTCGAATAATGGGAATACCTTCCAATATTTTTTCTTTCATGCGAAAGATTGTTGGAATGACAGTCGAATTCCTGATGGCTAAAAGTCGTCTAACGTTCGACAAAATATTATCGCCATATGTCCAAGGAAACACAGAAAATCTTAAAGCCGGAAAGAAGATAGAAACTTGCAGCCATCTCATATAGAGTTCTTCGCTCAAATTTGGCCTTGTATTTACGGATTGTCCGGCCAAAACTAAACCGTCAGAAATTACGTAAGGGTAACCTAGAATTCCCAGTAAGAGGGCCTTCTCGACAAGGTTTGTAATACACATATCTGTGCCTTTCTGAACAACACTGCCCTCCACACTGACGAACACTGATGAATTCTGTGAGTGGGTCACCCGACTGACGATTACATTATCGCTGAGTTCTGCTGCTATTTCGATGAAACGGCGCATGAAGTCGCCGGAAGTGAAGTTTCCTGTCAAGTGAGGCTGGAATGGAAGAGTCGCATTACCATCGTAGGTAAATCGGAAAGCACTGATATCATAAGTGTTTTGCAACAGAGAAAGTCTCTCTTTGAGCCACTTCTCGGCGTTCTTGTTGGACACATCCAACACAGCCGCTATGCCATGTTTCCAGTAAGTAAGCCCCGGAGCACGACCGCCTGCATCCATAATGAAAAACCCGAGGTCAATCCCAGCTGCGAAGTTTTGAGAATTGTGGTGGGTGTAAGGACTGAAAGGTAAAAGGAGATTACAGTTTTGTCTTTTTACTGTTTCTACCATTCCAGTAAGATTTGTAAACTTTGTTGTATTAAATTCCAAGTCCCCGTATTCAGTTTCCCACTTACCGTTCAACTCTAGAGTCGAACAGGTAAAATTCATCCGGCCAAGTTCTTCGGCCATATTACTAACAAGATCACTTGTCAGGTCATCGGCTCGGTCCATCTGAACGACCCAGTGAGGACGTTCAAACATATTTCGATTGGGAAATTTCTTCGTTGTATTCCGTAGGAATCTCCGTTTAACTACCCGGTATGTTGCCATGATATCATGGTCGTAACACACAGAGTAACTGAGCTGGAGGGGTTCCGGAGAGGCAGAGGCAAAACTAGTGGCTGACATTGACTCTACGCAGACGTTCATCGACTTGTGGTTCTGCCACATAACTCGGAACGCAGTCGATTCGTTAACAATAATAGCTATACCATTTGACGATAGCCATACGTGTTCAGAAAGATAACCGAACGTACCATCCAAATCATTATGAGTGAAATTTGGTGAGTAAGCATAACTGAAGTTGACGAGTGGCCACTGAAACTGGCCGCTGTTTGACGGGCCGAACCAGTGGGCATTGCTCTGAAAACAGTCCGTCAAGTGTTGGACCGCTTGTTCAGAGAGCCATTGAACGCCAAAGCAGTTAAGTGAATCGACAGTGTAGTGGTCAATAAATACTTTGGCGGCTCCCTTCCAACGCATGCAAATACTGGAAGACTGTTTTTTGTTAGTGGTACAGTCCATTGGTAGCCATCCCTTGGGTACCTTTTTGGCCAATTCGCCCGTGAACTCTTCAGGGCTCCAAGGGACATTTTTGAAAGTCAAAACTCGACTAGCTGCATCAAAGGTGACTCGTTGATCCATCTCGATGGCGAGACGCTCCTCTTTGTGGAAATGCCAGACGAGACCGAGGCTGACAATAATAAATATAAATGTCAAGAGAACCATAATGTGTAGCTGAAACTTTTTGCATTTGTTTTCTTTCGGGGGCTCCTAAAAAAAAAGAGAAAGAAAAAAAAGAGGTATTGTTATTATAAAATGAGAAAAATGTATTGTTATTAAATGACAAAGTGAAAAGTGTATTATTATTATTATTATTATTATTATTATTATTATTAAAATGAGAAAAATATATTAAAATGTGAAAAGAGTATCATTATTAAAAGGAACTAAATTATTATCATTTTAAAGTGTATTATTATTATTATTAAATTGGGAAAAAGGTATTATTAAAATGAGAAAAGAGTATTATCAATAAAGCGAGAAAAATATTAAAAAGAGAAAATGCATTATTAAAATGAGAAAAGAGTATTATTATTATTAAATTGAGAAAAAGTTTTTAAAATAAGAAAAGTATATTATCATTAAAATGTGAAAAGTTTATTTTCATTAAAATGAAAAAAGAGTATTATCATTGAAATGAGAAAAGTTTATTATCATTAAAATGAGAAACTAAAAAAAAACTATTATTAATTAATTAAAATATTTTGATAGCATTTTTCCTAAACTGACATTCGAACTTTTTAAAGAAAAATTTTACAAATTTAGCACCAACTACGGGTCTACTCAAAACCAATTCAAATGTTTCAAGTAAATTGGACTGTGTAGTCAGATTTTAGTATGAAAGGCGAGGCTTTGACAATCGGTTAAAAATAGAAAGGGGTGTAAAAGAAGGACATGTATTCTCACCGGATTTATTCAACTTATACAGTAAGGCGATTCTGAGAGAATTACAAATCCTATCAGGATTCATTATTGGTGGCCACAATCTTAACATAAGATATGCAGATAACAGTGTTGATAGTAGACACAGAAAGGAAGCCACAAGAGCTCCTACAGAAGGTATTGAAGTACAGCGAGAAGAAAGGACTAAACATCAATTGTATGAACACAGAATGCATGTTTGTTGGCAAAAGGAACATTCCAACATTCAAATTACAAATTGGAGATACCAAAATCAAACAAATACAACTATTTAAATATCTGAGAAGTGTTTTAACAGAGGATAGAAAGTGCGACGCTGAAATCTGAAGGCGCATTGGGATAGTGCCTTCCAAAAGCTAAGCAAAGAATTAAGAAACTGGAAAATTTTGTTAGAAACAAAGGAAAAAGTATATTGAACTATTACGTAATATCAGTTCTCCTATAAGATATGGAATAATAGACAATTTCATGAATGATAAAGAAGAAAATTAAAGCAACAGAAATGTGGTTCTAGAGCAGAATGGCGAGAATATTATGGACTGAATACGTGAGCAACGAAATTTTTAGAAAATGGAAACAAAACGGATACTTATAATTAACATCAGAAAGAGAGAATTAAGATTTACAGGGTATATATAATTAGGAAAGAGGGCTTGGAAAATTTGACACTCACAGGAAATATTGAATGTAAGAGGGACAGAATAAAGCAGCACATAAACTATCGAATGCGATTGAGTAAATGGATGACAGGACAGGGTTTAGGAGAGATAATAAAAAGACAAAATTTACTAAGAGTTACAATGGATAGGAAATTGTAAAGAGCCATGATCGCCAACGTCTTGAAGCACACATAGAAGATTAACCATTTGTTGTTAGTAAAAGTTTCAAGATGCAATTATATTTATATGAGTAATATATCATCCGTTTCAGTTTAGCTTATACGCTGGAATTATATTAGCTTATATTATTTTAACACCAATTTTTATTTATAAATTAATCTAAAAAGATAAGATAAAGGCCGGAAACATTTGATTAGCACAATATCCCATGTACCTGAATGAATTATTTTTACATGTGAGTCTTTGTTCCCTGACATTCTCTAACCATCGTCTTACATAAACCCACTCTTGAAAGCTTTTTAATTGCGACCTGTGTCATTCAAAAACATCCTGTCAAAGAACTTATAATAATTCTTTCCATTTCTGTTTCTTAGCCTAATCAAAAAGTTGTCTCCTGCTTGTCATTGAAGAGTAGACATGATACCGAATCTTTCCCGAGGAGAATCATCACGAGTGATAAAAATGGTTTCTCTATAACCATATCCAATAAAAACGACGATGGTTAGCACCAACTAAAAGAGGAGAATCCATCCTTAAGCCAGGACTACATCCGATAAAATGTTTGATGGGATATGAAGTGTGTCGTCTATTATGAAGTTCTAAACGAAAACTAAAGTTAATGCTGAAATGTTTTGTCGTCAATTGAAAGCATTGTACAAAAATGTACAAAAAGTGCTCATCGTTGGTTAATCGTAAAGGCGTGTTGTTGTTACACCATAATTTAAGATCACGTATTACTGGAGTCCTTCAGAAAAGGACTTACTTTCTTTTATGTGCCGTGTCCTTTCAGGACGTAGGCGATCATGGCTTTCCACTTCTCCCTATCCCTTGTAGTTCTCAATAAGGTTCGTGCCTCTGCCAACTTCCGCAGACCACGCTCTGCCATCCACTTGCTTAAGCCCACCAGGTATGTCATGCGTTGCTTTCCCTTGTTTTTCCCTCTATTCGACCTGTGAGTATCAGATTCTCCAGGCTCTCCTTTCTCATTACGCATCCCAGAAATTTCATCTGCCTCTTCCTTATGTTAAGTATAAGCTTCCTCCTTGTTTGCATCCTCTCCAAGACATCGTTGCTCACATGTTTGCTGCATGATATCCTTAACATCCTTCTGTAGAACCACATCTCCGCTGCCTCGAGTCTCTTCTTCGTCTCTGAGGAGACCGTCCAATATTCGCTGTCGTATAGGAGGACAGATGTCACGTAGCAGCTCAGTACTCTTTTCTTTGTCACCAAAGAAATCTTCTTGTCTCGCAGTACTCTGCCCAGCTTTTGGAATGCATCCTTGGCCATCCCAATCAGTCTTCGGATCTCATTGCCGCACCTACTCTCCGCTGTCAAAACACTTCCAGATATTTAAACTTCCGCACATGTTTTGCTTCATCCTACTTACTCTTCTGATATTGCTTCTTCTTTTCAGATCGTCGAAACATTTTTAAGGGAAAAAACAGTTTATTAATTGTGAGGAGGTTAAAACTGATATAGAGTGTTTTTTTTAAAACCTGAATAATTTTACGCAAGAGGAATGAACAATTTGCAAAATACACGGAATTATGCTACCGATGATGAAAGAAAATATTATCTTGATTAAATATATCAGTTCAGACAAAACAAGCATTTATTTCTTCTCCATTTTTAAATGTGACAGGACTTTCTTTCCAATAATTATTCGCTGCTTAACAGCGATCGGTGTTAGAGCGTAGTTAAAAGCCCAAATCTCGAACATTAGCTTTCATTGCAAACATGAAAATAACTTCCTTAAAGTCTAATTATCTCCCAGTTAAGTGTCGCTGCTTGAACCTAAGCTTAGTAAATACCTTTTACCATAGCTACTCCAATACATCTTGACCTATGCAGGATTAAGTTAGTAAATATCTACTAGTCATGTTAAGTAAGATTTTTTCTCTGGGCTTCATATCAATATTTCAGAAAATTTTAACATATGAACCCACAAAAAAAAAAAAAAAAATCTGTGTCAAAAAGACGGTTTTCCTTTGACACCGCTATTATCGTATTCTCCCTCGGTAATTTTTATTAAAAAGAAAATCAGCAAACAAACAAAAAAGAATTTAGACTTCTGACAAAACCAAAATATTTGAAACTGGATTTATGCATTCTTTTTTTCCATAACTAAAAACAAAAGTATTTTATTAAATTGTTTATTTACAAATCTGTAAAAATATGTGAACCAACTACAATTGAATATTTTTTACCATATTATAAAGAAATATCTATGAAAACAAGTTTTTCTTCATTAATTGGCAATCTTTAACGTTCGCGTCCGCAATAAAATGGTATGTCAAAAGAACGGTTTCTCCCATGACACCGCTATTATTTTAACTATAGTCACTCCCTCAGCAATGTTTGGTTTTACAAAGCGATGATTAGAATTGTAATAAAACCCAAACATATGGATGTGAATTTATAAACTGTGTTTATCTTTGTTCTTTGAGAATTTGAAATAAAATATTAAACACTATTTATTAGATTGTTTATCTACAATAATAATGTTATATTTGAAACATTCTAAAAATCAACAATGTAATGTTTAAAATTTATCAATTTATAAAGAAATATCAGTTTTATAATTCATTGATATTGTTATAAAATTATGAATAACAACAACTTGTTTTCATAGTTATTTATAAAAAGGTAAATAATAAATATTGCACTGCTGATGGTTTACATATTTTGATAAGATTGTAATTTTTGAAAAAAATTTTGAATAAAATATTTTTCACATTCATTTCTTTGTAAAATGGTAAATAATAAATCTTTATATGAGGTAAGTAATAAATACCACATTGTACTTGGTTCACAATTTTATAATCTTGTAAATAAACATTGTCTAAGGATTGAAGTTAGTACAAAATAATAGCGGTGTCAAGGGAAAACTGTTCTTTTGACACACAAGTTTTTGTGGGTACAAAGGTTAAGGTTTGCCCATTAATTTATAAAAATGTCTGAACAAGCGAAAATTTTCTCTTGCCACAAGCATAAAAATATCTAATATATAACAAAATTATATATATATATATATATATATATATATATAATTATTAAGATTATATATATATATATATATAATATATTATAAAAATTATGTATAAAATAGGTTGCAAGCATAAAAATACATCATAATATAACAGTTATACTTATCTTTCTTGAGAATTGACAAAAATGCTAAACACTTCATTTAGACGATTTATTTACAATACTATTGTTTAATACTTTTGTTGTCAATTCCTGAGAAAGAGAATGCATAAATCCAGTTTCATGTTTGGGTTTTATTCAAATGTCTCAAGAGAAAAACTGTCGCATTCACTTTCACACATGTGAAAGGCATGAATCCATCTATCCTCAGCCCTAAATGTGAGTCAAATAGCAGAGTAGACTAGGCTTTCTAACCTTAGTGACACCCGTCTAAGAACCCCCCCCCCAAAAAAAAAAATTAAATTTCAAACCGTGGTGAATGTAACGAGAAACCAGTCCACTATATTTTTCAAGGAGTTATTACAATTTAAAGATAAAAAAAAGAATATGTGGAGAGCCATGATCATCTATGTCCTGAAAGGATATGACATCATTAAATATTGCTTATAAATTGGAATATATGTAAATAAAATAAAAACTGATTTCGACATTAAAGAACCCCAACGAGTTATTTAGTAAAATTAACTAACGCAACGCAAAATAAAATCTTTGAATTTTCAAAAATTTAAATGCGGTGTCAATGGTCCTGACCTGGCATCTCGGCTTCAGTCCCTTTCCCACTGCTGTAGCGTAGCTTCCCTGAGCTGTTTTTATAAATGTGTTTACTGTAATTGTCCGGATTAACTTTCCTCTATAGTACCTAAACTTTATGAATTTAAGCGTAGTACAAGATTGGCGGAGAGGTCTCATCAATTTACAGTTGCAATGGCTACATGTAATCGTAAAGTTCTATGCTAACAATTTCTTCTGTTGCACATATCGCTAGTAGAACTCTCTTCCGGCTTCTTGCTTCCCAGTCAAATTTGATCTTCAAAAATTTAAATACAATGTCAATCGTTATTTTCCGTCTACTTAATCCTTGTTCATTTATTGTTCTTCTTCATTAATAGAATTTTTTTTCTCATATTCTCTCACACTCAGTAACCCCCTTGCATCTTAGTGGCTTTATTTCCTTGCTTGGGGTGAAACGATAAAGAAAATTTGTGAATTGCGATATTTTTTCTTCCTTCGATATGTAACAGTTTGGCGCATGGAAATGTCTACGATTTCATAGTTCCAGATTTGATGCTAATTAAATATGTGATCTACGTGAAGGATTCTTTTAAAATACGTGATTTCCTTAAAGAAAAGGGTTATGGTAATTTACCCATGTAAACATGGACTCTCCCATCTATAAATAGGAACAGGTACTGCCTTTTAGAGAGGGAAGTTTCCAGCAGTTAGCTCTGACAGTCGAACCGAACATTCTTGCTGTAACACACTTGTTTGTATATGGTTGTATTACTGCTTCTGTTAATATATTTGTTTAACTCAATTCCTCTCTTTGTGTCTTTATTTCTGGCCCTGACAAGGCCACAACAAAAAGTATCTACATAAGCAACTTTACCTAAGTAGTACCTAGCTTGCCCAAACATTACAATCTCATCTAGATTTCATTTGCTTGAAAATTATATGATCCAATACCCAAAATTTATTTATTGCATTTCAGAATGATCAAACTGCTTACAAACAGGGATAGTATTAGTTAAAATAATTATTTTCTTTCGTTCTTTTTTTATCATATGGTATTATTTGTTTAGTATATCAAATAAAGAATATTTCTTCTTTTTCTTGTCTTATTCCGTATATATGTCTATATTTAATGGAAATTTTAATGTAGAGAATTTTAGCGATGCGTTACTCTGATAGATCAGACTCGGAAGGTAGATCACATACTTAATATCACCCCAGATGCTTTATTCATTCAAATAAAAAAGAAATTAATTTCAGTTTTCAGTCGTTCTTGGCGATTCCAATATGACTTTACAATTCTGCAGTTAAAAGGAAATCAATTCACAATAGTAATGAAAAAAGTAATAATACAATATAGTGATCTTTATGGAATTTCCAGGAGGATATAGATCCAGAAAGAGCTGTATGTCAAAAGACAGCGCAAAATTAATATTAATTAAAGAATATCAAACACCTAAAATCCCATAGGTAATAACTTTTATTTCATGAGAGTTCTAAAAAAGCAGCTCTCAATTTTCCAGCCCTACAAACAACTCACAAATGAAATGTAAAAAAATATTCCAGGTTAAAATCAAGAGATATTGCTATCTTATTTAGAGCGTGGGAAAAGACAGAGAGTGTTGACCTGTTTTGATATACTGACCTCAGATTTAACCTTAGTATGTCATTTGAGGAAGGTGGAAAGGCATAAGGTGTAGTTAGTTCAGTGATATATATATATATATATATATATATATATATATATATATATATATATATATATAGGCAGCATATCGTCACTCAATCATATTTCATTTAATAATATAGATATGTCTATTTATTTTTACAATAATTCTTTCTAATTCTCTAATTATCTTCTTGTTAAGTTAAAATTCATCAAGGAAAGCGCCATAGTTCTTATTAACCCAAGTAATTTCGATCTCATCCGAGATCATCTTCAAGGGTGAAATGCGAAGACAAACTTATTGTAATTGTTGTTTGAGTGTGATAGATAGATAGATAGATAGATAGATAGATAGATAGATAGATAGATTGTAACATGCTAAAGCCCCGGTTGTCCGTCCATCCAATCAATACGTTTCCTTCGAGACAGGGCTAGGGTTAATGCGAAATGCCGAGGAGGCTTGAGCAATTTCTTCCCCTAGTCCACGTACGCGCGGTCATCCTACTTTGAACTTGGCTTCGTACCACGGCCCATTCGAATAGGGGTAAGGTTAAGCAGTGCGATAATTAGCAAGCTCATCTCGCAAATCAGGCAAATTTCTCAATAAGCAGACCAATATTTGTTGATTTAAATACGAATTGAGGTTTCTACGATTTTATTTTGAGAAATATTGCCATTGGTCAATAGCATATATACAGAAAACAAATACTTTTTTAAAAAGATGAGGCATTTCTGTACAGCAAAAACGGTAGCTAACCAAGAAAAAGTAAGGTCATTTTCAGATTCAGCGCCCTCAAATTAGCTAAAGATGTTTAGTGTGTCGACACCATTTCAAATTTTTTTTGTTCAGTGTAATAGAGTAGGGAGAAATATTGGCATTATTTTACTATTAAACCCACCTCCCACCTACGACTCTTATCTTATGCTCCTTAAGTAGTCAACTGGCCAATGACAGTGAAGTAATGGCGGAATTAATCATGCGTATTAGGTCAATAAAGGAGACGGATGTAATAGTAAAAATGTACCAAAATATTTTAAAGATTTTCTAAAATGTTTCATTCGATTATTTTACGGAGCTGAAACTGTTATGTTCCTACTCTCTCCCTCCACGTCTTTTGAACAGGAGTAGAATTGTATCCCTTGTTCCATGTTTAAGATTGGGTTTCCGGTTCCTTCTAAAGTCTACTTCAACTCTATTCTTCTAACGTCTCTCTGCGTGAACTCTGAAATTTTATTCACGAATTAAATTTTGACCCCTTCATGTCTAGAATTAGCTGTCTATTTTTCTTGCATAGCCCCAAGAACTTCACTTCTTGTCCTTTCTTACGCTACTCCAAGCCACAGGATTCGAACTTGTATCCTATACAGAACCGTCATATAACTTGACGATTTGGCCACAGAGGAGCATTCGAATTTACTGTATTTGAACTTCAATCTTCTATGAATCTCTCACGTACATTCATATCTGCTCGTGGCGTATCAAATATGAACAAATGACGTCACACATTATGAAATAGACAAAGTCCAACAATTATTTTAAGACATTAATGACACGCCAGCAAAATGACGGTTCCGTATAGGATACAGGTTCGAATCCTGTCGGAGGACGAATATTTTCTGGGAAAATTTCTCGGACATTCAGGCCGGTAAATGTTGTTTAATACTGTTTATTATAAAGGGAGCATTTACTTAAATATTTGTAGCTATAAAAGAATGTATAAACATAAAATGTCTTAATATATATATATATATATATATATATATATATATATATATATATATATATATATATATATATATATGAGCTGAATGGGGAGAATTGTGCATAAGATGAAAATAACAATTTACCGAGTTATACAGTGAATTTAACGCATTCAAGCCACAAATCTATAATGAATTAGAAACTCGTGCTTTTTATATTTAATAATTAAACATTATAATGAGACGCTTATGATGTGTACAAGGGATAAAATAGGAAGAAAACTATTTGCTATTAGAGAAGTATCTGAGAAAGAACTCCCCTTCTGAGACTTGCTATTTTCTATTTATTTCTAAATGTCTAGTTATTCTATTTACTTAAAACAAGATCGTTTCCCCTACTCAGTGAGTGTTGAAAACGAAATGATAACAATAGCTATTCTACAGATAGCCATCTCTTTTTATTTAACCTTTATTCTTAATGTTTTCTGGTCTTTCTTTTATCAATTGTCACGAAGCAACACGTTTCTTCATAAACCTGTACCTATAATGTAATCTATTATTAGATTCGGGTGTGCTTTTATAATATACAAGGTGTATACGTGTAGAAAATGGAGAGATTGATAAAAATAAGTTATGGTGCCCTAAAATATGAAGTCATGAACAATATAGAAGACACTTGAAAAAAAAAATATACTCACTAACGTGAATGTCCGAATTTGTTCAACAGAGGCACGAAATTTTACCAATGCAACATTCGAACCAGATAAAACGTTAGAGTAATCAGTAAACAGATCAAAAGCTACCGCCATTTATAAAGTCCAAGCCAGAAATATTTGGAATAAGAGTTAAAAGTTGTAGTAACAAAATGGTGGATACTTATTTTGCGCTTTCAGCAGAATATTGAGATTTCTTGTTATTACATTGAATTGACTAGTACAGACGTTAAGTCTTCCCCCAACAGTTTTTTTTGTTTCATTTTCCAGGGAGAAGTAAAGCAACAAAGACATTAGAAGGCACAATTAAACCGACATGACATTACGACCTTTATAAAGACATGTCCGACCTTATATCTATTTTCATCAAAGGTCTGTTTGTATTGTCTACTAACCGGGAGCTTTAGTATACTTGTTACTGTATCGTCGTCACTACCATCTAGATTACATAAAGCACTCAATTTTATTGTTTTCTGCGGAAAAAAAAGTACAAATGAAAAATTGGTAATTGCATTTTCATTACTCTAAAAGTGTGTTGAAAGGGCGATAACCATTTTCTTTTACGCGACGATGAAACAAAACAAACTATCGACAGCACAAAAAATGGACTGAGTTCAAACTCCAGCTAGGACATTTTTTGTTCACTTTACTTTAATAACCTTAGGAAAGCCATGAATTCACTTCTCTCATCATTTATGTGTAAATAGTAGGGCAGTTGGCGCTCTTCCGTCCTTGGCAAGACAGACTATAATGGATGTCGGGCTCGTAAATCTGGTCCCCGAAAAGCTTTCCTTGCTAGTGAAACTTCAACAGCCTCACTTTCGGTGGTTATTGATAAAGAAATAAACTCAGCAAAAATGTTTTCGTTAATAACGAAGACAGAAAAGCTATAAAAACGAGGTAAAATCCGATTCTTAGTAAAAAAAAAAAAAATGTTCGAGTCCAAGGGGTTTGTCCCCACCAAAAGTTTACCTCTCCTTCGTGAGGGCGCTAGGATCATTCCTTAGCGTCTGTACTGCGAGAAGACAGGAAAAAATCTTATCCCCAGTTCACTTATACGCGAATTACCAGCCCTATTTAAACTTCACTTTATGTCACACTCCGCTCGAGTGGGTGTGCCGTTAAACTCCTACTTTGAATAACCCCCACCCCAAATTATGGTTATTGAAAATATACAAAGCGAATTTTATAAAAAGGCGCGGTGTTGTATTGTTAATTTTCCTCACATCGATCTTAATAATTTTTTTAAAGACAACATAGAAACGTGAACGAAGTGTATGAACGCAAACTTTACTCTTAAATGGCAGGCATCATTATTGGAGATAAGCAGATATCATCAATTGATGATCTGAAACTTTTCCAATGAAATGGGATCATTCATACACGATTCATGTCTAAATGACAAATTAGCATCTCGAGGGTTGATGAGGTTACGTCCTTTCCTGGACTATTTAAGCCAAACACCGTGCTATGGACATACTGATCTATTCTCGTAAGTAGGTATATCAATAACATTGTTTGTTGCCTATTGATAAAATAAGCATTTATTTTACATCAACGGATATTTATTTTTCAACATAATCTCCTTCTTCGTGGATGCTTTTAAAACATCTCTGATAATCCTTAAACGGGATTTCACCAGCAGATATCATCAATTGATGATTTCAAAATTTTCCAATGACACAGGGTCATTCATTCATGATTAATGACTAAATGACTAACTGGCAACTCGAGGGTTCATGAGGTTTCATTGGAAATCAGATGTCATCAATTATTGGTGAGGATGGTGATGATAATATTAATATTAATAATAATAATAATTATTAGTATTATTTTAGTTTTTTTTTTAATTCTTTGAGCCCTGCGTTCCTGAACAATTTTAACCCTTCTGCCTGAGCTCCTGTGTCAAAATTCGCAAATAATTGGTATGTAATGTTTCACGGTAGATATAAAAAATAGTTGCAAAAAATATAAGCATTTTACTTAGCAGGAAGAGAGTATGATTGCATGCCTTCACCTTATCGCCAGAATTCTTTCTTTGTGTCCCAGTCTACCCAAATAAGACAAACAATAGCAAAACATGACGCTGGTGTTTACCCACCGTTCAACCGGTGGCTGGGCATTAAGTCATTTTGCTCTACCACTGGTAAAGCGGTGGTCAGGGCTCAAAGGATTAATTTAATCGCTTCTCGGCCTTTTGTCCGGGGTTAAAGCGTACTGTCTGTTCTCGCCTCATTTGGGATTGGAGAAGGCGCCTGGTTCCGAGGATTCCAACCCTGCGACAGCACCTTCCTCATTGCACTAAGAGAGTCGAGGTCGGTGTAATATGGTGTCCAGTGTGATAGTGAGCGCGGGGACTGGGCAATAATTTTTCCTTGGCCGATATGCATATGCATCCGAATGTACTCTCCGCATAAAAAATGACCCCGTGTCACATACTGTCTTAGTGGGGACGTCAGGTAAATAAACTGATTATTTAAACTTTTTCCAACGATACGGACATCATTCATTCATGTTAGAATACGCTAAAGACAATATGTATGCATGTATACAGGGTGCGATGGATAAATTGTCGTCTAAATTACGCAAAAATGAAAATGACACTGATATTTCATTTTAACAGATATATTTACCAAAATTATACAAAAATATCTTGAAATACTAAAGAATAAATTTATTCAATAAATTGCCATTGGCTTCAACCACTGCCTCCAGACAACTTCAAAATATCCTGCAACACTTCTGGACGGTCTCCTTGATTAAGATTATGAATGCTGCTATAATCCTTACCTTCAGTTAATCTTTGGTGTTACAAGGAGTTTTGTTGATCTCTCGTTCAACTGCGCCCCACATATATTAATCAAGGAGGTTGTAATGTGGGGAGTTAGGTGGCCAGGCGTGATGTGGTAGCAGAAATTGTCTGACAGCCATGATTCCTTTCTGTGTGACATGGTACAGAGCCA